ATATATATATATATATATATATGTGTATGTGTATATATATACCATAATGTAATACGGTAGCTTTATGACATTCAAGTGACAATGTTATAGTGAGTGCATTTGAATTGTGAATGCTATAATTAATTAGTTAATTGTTGCAATTGTTAATTATTGTGATAATGATATATTTATATAATTATATTTATGAATATGCTATTATATATTATAGGGTTTTTTGTTTGTATCGGATGGTGAATACCTGCGTTACTGTGTGTATACCTGCGTTACTGTGTGATACCTGCATTACTGTGTATATCTGCGTTACTGTGTATGTCGGAATAAAAGAAAAGATAGTAAATGCAGTCTGGTCTCAAAACATATTTTGTTCTTTTGAATGGGTATTTGGTCTCATCCACCAAACGTCAGTGGTCGAATCCGGACTAAATCAATACTGAGGCTTCCCGAACCACGACATTACGCAACCAGCCTCATTTCTTTTCGCAGTGAGTGTGTAGCTTACCTGTGAAGAAAAGCCTCATACTTTCTTCCGTTGTGTTATTTGCCTATAAGCAATCGTTGCATTTGTTTCCCACGATTGCTTAATGTCTTTTCAGAAGACTGTATGCTTTGACTGCAGGGGTCTAGGCCTAGTCCAAAGATTGACAGCCCCCTGTCAATCATGTGACCAGGGGTCACTTTGGGAGGGGTGGGCATGTGACCAGAGGGTCGCATTGGGAAGTGTGGGCATATACACTTTTTTTTTATAAGAACCAGTAAAATTTTGCCTAGGCTCAGTGTTCTTATATTTTGGCAACTGATTTCAGGCTCAAAATGTTCTTATTTTGTTCTTATGTTACACACTTTTAAAACATACAAATGTATTTGTACCAGTATACTGTACTGGAATGTAGGTAAAAATTCCCCAGGAAAACTGGCCCTGAAAAAAAAGGCCACTGAAAAAACGTCCCCAGAAAAGGTATACACCTCCTGTACAGTATTATAGAGGGTATTACAAAGTCACACCTACTGCACATAAGGTACAGTAGGCCTACAGATATATTTTTTGGTTTTTCTATTTTTTTTTTTTTTTTTTTTTTTTTATAAAAATCTCATTGGACATTTTACCTCAGCCTCAATTTGTTCTTATTTTGTTCTTAATTTTTAAGAAATTTCAGCCTCAGTGTTTTTATAAAATGTGTTCTTATAAAAAAAAAAGTGTAACATATGAGTTATATACACCTGGGCTAGATGATTCCATTATTTTTCGTGGGTAATTCCTTTAGAAATCTGGCTGATATCATTTCATAAGGTATTAAGTATTTTCAAGAAATAGAGAAGAATTAAAATTGAAAGTAACTTAAAATTGTTTCAACTTACTTTCCATACAGTTTTCTCCTTTAAACCCTGGTGGACAAACACATTTCCCTGTCTCATCATCACATACACCACCATTATAACAATTATTACAAATGCCTGTACATCGAGGTGCACCATATCGGCCAGCAGGACAGCCTGAATGAAATAAAATATTAGATGATTGATTTACAAATTGAAATTGTTTCTTTGGGTTTTATCTTCCTTAAGGTGGCTTAAAAACCAAAATGGCGAGGAGGGGGAAAAACTGACTAAATTGAGGCAGAATGAATGTACTACATCTACAGATGTGTGTTCATTCATATGTGATTACATAACGTGAGGACGCCTCTTGGAAACTACTAGTAGCACATACAGCATTTGAGAGGGATATATGTCACTATGGAAGCTGAATGTGGTTACACCCAAAGAGGCATAGTTCTGTCAGTGTGGGGGGATGCATGTGTGTTGGTGGTATACTTAAGTGATGCTGAATGTACCTACTGTACCCCAAGAAGCAATACACTATACAGTAGTTCAGTTAGGACGGGGTGTACATTTCACTAAATGTCCTAATAAAATAACGTCACTACCCCAAAATGCATAACCGATGTAATCAATAAAATGTACCAATCAAACAACAAAAAATAAAACATTTCTTGAAGGTTGGCATGGCAAAAATAATTTAAATTTTAGTACACCATGTATCAATGATTTTTGAGAAATATGTAAGTATAACATTTATGACCGAAAGTCTAATTGAACGGGTTGAGTAGGGCCTATGGTGCTTTTAGACAACACAATATCATGAGGTGCAATTTATTGCAGTAGCAAATACCAGCGTTTTAGTAGAAAACTAAGAGTGGACGATAGACATTTTAAGGGTGGGTGCGGTAGGTGATAGCATTAATAAAATACTTTTTGTACAAATTGAGATAACATTTTATCATTGATCCCTTAGATATTCCTAGAATAAAAAATGATTTTGTGTAATTAATTCTAGAAATTAAATAACAATAACCAACCTCTCACAAGAAGTTCAATAAACGAATGTTTGTAGTCATCCCTTTGTCCCTCTAAGTAAAGTTCATACATGCCGCCATCTTCAACGCTCACACTATTGAAAGTTAAGCTTGAATCATGATAAAGGTTCTTGTAGCTGTCTCTTATACACATCTAGATGTGTATAAGAGACAGATATTAATGCATGCGTCGTGCAACCACGCTCCACCCTCGAATTATTTATAACGGATGCTTGTGGGCATCTCTTTTGTGATTTTGTTAACCCCACACCTACGATAATTTTTAACAATTGCTATATCAACCATTTAACAATTATCAACCTCCACCAGTAAGTTAATACTGAAATTACTCTTAGCAGTCCCCGTATTGATTGGGGCAGCTATCACGGTTTGTTCACTGTATACCGTAAAACCTCGAATTGAAGCCCTGGGCTTCTTTTTGTTTTTTTCTTTTCTTTTCTTTCTTTCTTTTTTGGTTTTTTTTGTTTGGTTTTTTTTTGGCAAACTTCGGATGGGCTTCTTTTCGAGGTTACTTTTTCAAAGTGAGGAGGGGTTGGGGCTTCTTTTCAAAATGAATGCTGTAAATTTTGTGAATTTGTATTATAAAACAATAAATAAGGCCTCTGTAACATATCAATCTGTATCATGAAGTGGATGGCATTATAAATCACCTACTCAGTGTATAAACCAAGCTTGTTTTTAATTTATTTTGCTTTCTGAAATTCATGTAAGTTAAATGTTTGTATTGTACTATCTCGAAAAGAAGCGTATGATAACTTGAAAAGAAGCCCATGGGCTTCTTTTCGAGATGGGCTTCTTTCGAGAATCATTTTGCAAACTGAGTTAGGGGTGGGGGGCTGCAATTCGAGATGGGCTGCATCTTGAGATTAAGCCCACTGGGCTTCAATTCGGGGTTTTACGGTATCGAAAGACGCAAAATCGATGGCATGCATGAAGTAGGCCCCTATTTGTCTGTTTTAATAGGCCTACCATAGGGCCATGACCCAGCTTATCCCATGATGAGGTCTGTGGACAATCAGGGGCCTTCCTTGTTTCACTAACGATGCTTCCTAATGAGACGTGGATATGTTTTTCAGTCAAATCCTCTGGTGTTCTCAGAGGATTTGAACTCAGGACCCTGGGATTGAAAGACAAGCTGCAAGCATCTTAATCACCAAGCTATGTCTTCATTATAGTATTATTAGGCATGATACGTTGACCGAAGACATGCTACTTTCACA